GAGGACCGCGTCATATTCTTTTTTTGACATTTTCCTTTTTCGTCTTTTTCCCATTATAGTTTCTTTTTACGTAACCTCACGGTTTCTGCTCAGATTTGATCCCGGATTTGCATGTATCCATTTCTTTTAATTTCCATGAAATGCGTGGTTTTACTTTTTTGAAAAGCTAGCATGCTACTTGTTTACTTTTTGTCGTAGGGGTATGGATGCATAGTTTCTTCGGAAACATTTACGCTTTTGTGGTGTTTTGTGAATTAACTTTTGTAATTATTTTTTTATCTTAGGGACCTTTTTGTAATTTATTTTTAAAGATATTTTGGGGAGGGACCTTTTTGTAATTTTTAACAAGTGTGACAAGTGTCACACTCTCATCGGTCCATTTGTAAGCATTCCATTGGTGACACTTGGGAGCCTTGGATTGGTGACATGTGGAGGGTGAGGATTCACCCACTTAGTGGCCTAGGATTGATCCACTTGTTAGGATGTAGACAAGTGGAGGGACAAAATTAAGCCTTGCATTTGTGTGTGAGAGAAGTAGTGTGCGAGTGTGTGTTTTTTTACTATCATTGACTATGTGAGTGGAAGAATACAAGATTTTTCATTTAGGTTTTCATCTCTTTCTCTCTTTCTCTCCCAAAAGGCACCATTGTTGTAACCTTTAACCTAGACCTACCACCTTGATTTTGAACCCTTTCCCTTCACATTTGGGCTTAAGTCTTGGAAGACTTTAGCTTCCCCTCATCCTCCTCTACAAAACCATAGAACGGTTTTGTAAATTTATTTGGTTTGCTTTGGATTATAGAGATTCAATTCTCTATTGGGTAGGGGGTGTTTTCATGTTTATATCCTTAATGTTTTAAGTGTTTTGATGTAAATATAAATGTATGCATGTCTTCCTTTGATTCTTAAGACTTGTATATAGTAGTACCTTACATGAAATTCACTTCAGACTTGATATTTGAAATGGCCTTGACTTGATCTTTAACATATATGAACTTGAGTTAATTTGGAAGTGTTTTAAAATCTAGAGATTTTAAATGATGTGATTCTAGAAATCTTGTACAATTGTTTCCAATGATTTGTAGTATATTTGAGAGTATATTGATGTTTGAATTATGAATTTGAAATCATTTAGGGGTGTTTTGAAATTTAGAGAATTTAATTATATTATTTAATTAAATTCAATATAATTGTTTCTATTGATTTAATTGTGTATTTGATGTTGTAATTATGTTTGAATCATGGAATTAAAGCTTATTGTATATCCACACGAAATGAAATTCCTATATTGTGAGACCTTATGAAATTCTATGTAATTGTTCCCATTGTTCAAAATATGTATTTTGTGTTGTTTTAATGTTTAAATCATGGATTTAGAACTTGTTGTATACCTATATAATTAGACCTTAGGTATTGATAACATGGTTGTAACTTGTAGTAATTTACATTGTGAAATTGACATATTACATAACATTATAGCTTGAGGACTTAAGGCATATATTGTGTGCTTCCAATAAAATTGATTGTGCAGGGTAAGTGGCTAAGTGCATTTGGTATATATATGTATATGCGTTGTTGCACAATTTGTTGATTTTGGATTCTTGGGACGTCATTGTTGTGACATAGCTAGAGTAAGGCTCTAGTACGGGAGATAGAGTTCTCTCTATATTATAGTGCGCACTTATGGAGGTTACCCACGGGCTAGTAACCCAAAAGTAACTAATTTCGTTGGTTCTATTCCGGTATGATGTCCAAGTATATCCACTTTGTTTGATTTCACATTTCATTTCAAGTCGATAACATCAAATCGTTGTAACTTGTTTTTTAATTAATGTGATTTCATGTTTTGGTTCAAGTTGATAACACCATATTGTTGTAACTTTTAGTTTTATTAGTTGAATTCATATTTTAAATTCAAGTTAATAACATCATGAAGTTGTAACTTGTTGTTATTCGGTTCTCCGATGATATCCAAGTTGATAACATCATGAAGTATAACTTGTAACGTACTTGTACTTCCAAAAATCTTCATGGAACAAACTTCCAAATATGAACAAACTATATAACAGAATCATAAATACTTTGGAGAGAATTAGGCAAACATATATAAAAGAACAATATTTCTTAAAAGATTAAATAGGAAAGAAACACAAAATTAGACAGAAAAACAACAAAGAACTGTAAACACATTATATACGCAGAGAATGAGATTTTTTTTAATTAAACATGATTAGGATGTAGTTAGACCAAAACACTTAGTTATAGTGTTTTGAATATAAAAGGTACAAATAAAGTATTATAAAATAATAATAGTCCAATAAAATATCAATAAAAACATATGAAAGTAACAAAGAGTAAGAAACTTCTGGCCTATTAGAGAGTTGAAAGGTTCCAAGATTGTCACGTTCACAAAATTAAGAACATTTACCAAGTCTTCCATTATCATATTGCTCATAGATTCAACATATATAGATATATATATACATTATAAAAGTGTAAATAATTTTAGTATTTATTTATTAATTGATATAAAAAAAGTTTTTGTAAAAAGAGTTTGTCTAAAACTCAAACATAAATTACCTATTTAACTATTTTGTTTCTAAAAAAATATTTATTAATTGATATATATATCTAACAAATTACCAAATAAAATTCAAGAGTTTTTATAAAACTTTAACACAAATTACCTAAAATTATATTAAATTTCTAATTTCCTAATAAAATTCAAATTACAAATTACCTAATAAAAATCAAATCTATAGTATTATATATATATATATATATATATATATATATATATATATATAATTTTTAAATATTACCTAACAAAATTCAAATAATAAAATTCAAATCTATACTAAATTTTAAAATATCTAATAAAATTCAAATTACAATTTACAAGTTACCTAATAAAATTTAAAATTACCTATTTATCTATTTGTTTTATAAAACTCTAAAACAAATTACCTAAAATTATACTAAATTTCAAATTACCTAATAAAATTTAAATTACAAATTACCTAATAAAATTCAAATCTATACTATTATATGTATCTATATATATTACTTTTTAAATATTAGCTAACAAAATTCAAATAATAAAATTCAAATCTATACTAAATTTCAAATTACATAATAAAATTCAAATTAAAAATTACTCAACTAATAAAATTCAAATCTATACTAAAATTCAAATTACCTCATAAAATTCAAATTACCTAAAAGAATTTATTACTTTACAAAACTAAAACTCTACCACAAATTACCTATTTTATTTTCGATAAAACTTTAATTTACAAATTACCTAATAAAATTTAAATTACCTAAAAGATTTTATTACTTTACAAAACTCAAACCCTACCACAAATTACCTATTTTATTTTCTACCAAAATCTATCACATATAATAAATTATTACCTAATTAAATTCAAATTGCAAATTACCTAATAAAATTCAAATCTATAAAACTCTATCACATACAATAAATTATTACCGAATAAAATTCAAATTGCACGTGCATTGCAATAAATTATTACCTAATAAAATTCAAATTACACATGCATTGCAAATGCCTTTTCCCAGTATATATATATATAATGAGATAATATATTGGTTGCATGGACAAAGAAGAAAATTTAGTAAAATTTTGGATTACTCTACTATTTATAGGCTACTACACACCTATTCATGAAATGATATATCTATTCTATTTTTTTTTATATATATGATCATATACTTTCTATAGTTTTAAGGAAGCAAATATAAAGAGCAGTTCGACGAGCCTCTAATATATATATATATATATATATATATATATATATATATAGAAATTCATAAATTATATTCTAAATTTTAAATCAGTCTAATCATATATTAGAATGATTATTATCACTCCATTATTACATGTTTTATATTTTCTACCAAATAATAAAATGAGAATGTTCATTCCCCCTTACATTCCATTCCATGCCAAACGCAACATATGTCCCAAGAGCAGCTAATATAAATATATATTTTTTGGAATGGTAGTCGTTAATAGAGTTGTATATGCTTCGGTCTTTTCATGGTTTGAAGGCAAAGAAAGGCCTTTTAAAACATGGAGGTAGGGTATGCATGTAATTGCTTTAACTTCCAAAAAAAAAAGAAAAAAAAAAGACAAATAAAGGCCTTTTAAATTCAGAGATCATCTCATCTTCTATGGCAATCATGAGTTCAAGGCAGGCCCAATCAAACTCTAATCAAGGGCCTCATATGAACTGTAATCTCAATGGGCTATAGGCTCAATTAAACTATATAACACATATTTCCACCGATTCTCACCGAATTAGGGTTTATATACACTATTTTTGTTTATGTGTTTCGGTGTTTGGGATAGCTATAAACAGAGAGAAAAGAGATGAGTAAGTCTAACCAAGCACTAGAATGATTATTATCACTTCATTTTGACACATATTATATTTTCAATTAAACAATAAAATAAAAATATCCACTCCCCCTATCATTCCATTCCATACCAAATAGAGCATTTGTTCCAAGAGAGCATTTGTTCCAAGAGCAACTAATATAAATATAGTAGTTAATAAAGTTGTATATGCTTTGGCCTTTTCATGGTTTGAAAACAATGAACTAAAGAAGGGTCTTTTAATTTTAGAAATCATCTTCTATGGCAATTATGAGTTCAAGGTAGGCCCAATCAAACTCTAATCAACAGCCTTCTACGTACGGTAATCTCAATAGGCTACGGGCTCAATTAAACTATAACATATGTTTCCATCGAGTCTCACCGAATTAAGGTATATATACACCACACGCGCCCATATTTGTTTATGTCTGTCGGTTAGGGATGGCCCGGGATGGGGTATCCCTGCCCCGCCTCGCCCCGATTAAGTGCACAATTACTAAAATACCCTTACCTAATTTTATTATATTTACCAAATTAGCCTATACTGTATATATACCACATATATGGAAACCCTAAAATCTAGTCTAAATCTAAACTGAGGCAGCAACCCAAGTCACGGCCTCTTCCTTCCTTCACCATCTTCTCTCTTTCTTCACCTAAGAATCGACAACAACATCGGCTTTTTCGTGTCCATCTCCGGCATCGGCTCTTCCATGTCCTTCCGAATCCATCTCTGGCATCAACTCTTCCCCCTCTCTAGTATGGGCTCTTTCCCCTCACCTGTATTGGCTCTTCCCCCTCACCGGCGTCGGCTCTTCCTCGTCAGCCCTCACCGCTATATGCATATGTAAGTGAGTGTTGGATTTTGGTTTTGTGGAACTGTGATTTTATTTATTTATTTACTTTTTTGAGTTTATTCCAATATTTTACAATGCTTATAGTCTTAAAGTTGGAATTATCCCATCAGATTATTATAAAACGTATATATATATAATGGATCAAATCATTTTGGTTTTGATTAAACTGTGATTTTTTGATCTGTGATTTTTTTATTTTTTACTTTTACAATTGGAGCTGTGATTTTTTTTTTTTTTTTTTCCTATCCTAGAACTGTGATATTGAGAATTAGGAGAACTTAATCGGGGGTGGGGCGGGGACGGGGAAAATGGTGGAGGGGCGGGGGCAGGGATAGGGGTGGGATTGAAATTTTTAACGGGGATGGGGGCGGGGATAGGGGTGAAATTTTTGGCTGGGTATAGGGATGGGGAATGAGATCCCCGCCCGCCCCGTTGCCATCGCTACTGTCGGTGTTTGGGATAGCAATGAAGAGAGAGAAGAGATGAGTCGGCGGCATTACCATTCCTTCCTTGTGATCTCATGTTCAAGATTCTGTTATGGTTACCCGTCAAGTCTATTCTCTGATTCAAGTGTGTGTACAAGTCATGGCTTACTTTGTTCATCGACCCTGACTTTGTTAATTAACATCTCAGCCGATCCCAAACCTCCAAACTCATAGTTTCATGTCGGTCTTCCACTTCATGCCCTACACTCCTCGTAGTACCAACATGTGGTACTGATGGTGAGAATCATGATCCAAGACCCATTCACCATCTTAAAACCAGGGGTACAAAGTTCAACATCTTAGGTTCCTATGATGGCTTGGTAGTATATGGAACTAGTCTTTCCGATAGGCGTTACTCCAACAGGCTTTACTTGCTGAATCCTTCGATGGGAAAACACAATAGATTACCAATTTTACCCTTGTCAATTGACAAAATAGATTACCAATTTTACCTTGTCAATTGAACAAATTACAGACTCAGACTCAGCCTCATATGGATTTGGTTATGATGAATCTGTTGATAATTACAAAGTGGTGGCAGTCTCCCCCTCACAGGCCGGCCTGAGATTAAAAAAATCTCCAGAGGCCCTAGGCGGACTTTAAATGTGAGGCCCTCTATACATATCACTAGTGATATGCTTGCCCTAATTTTTTTTTTAGGCCCTTTTTTGCTGCATTTGGTTAGACCTTCTTTTTTTTTTTTGGTAGCCCATCATTCCTGAGGCCCTTTGCTGCAGTTATAAATTTTTTTTTGGTGGCCCAACATTCATGGCCTACAAATTTTGATTTACTGCATTTGGTTGTAAATTTTTTTTTTTTTTTGCCCTTTCTGTGGCCCATCATATATGGGCCTATAAATTTGGAGGCCCCTTATATTTTGAGGCCCTAGGCGACTGCCTTGGGCCAAGGCCGGCCCTGCCCCCTCATCTTATAATAAAGTATTCGGCAGCCCTATAATGAATGTATATACACTAAATACAAATTCTTGGAGAAGGATTCAAGACATCCCTCTTGGTATCCATTTGCCTTTAAAGGTATTGAGTATACTTCTACACGGACTTCTTCGTTGGTTAAATCCAAAGAGTGCTAATTTCATGAAATAGGGTATTTTGTACCCAAGTGAACATGCACGCGTATATAATATGCGGCCCAAAAAAAGACATACCAACCCTCTGAAATCCATAAATTGGCCTTTAAATGTAAATAATGGAGACTATGGACATACATGAGAACGAAAAAGTGTTTGCCCTTAGCCATACCTCATATATATATGAAATGAACTTCAAAAGTAAATTTGCATACATAATACATATTTCGATGCAAAAAGGGCACATTAAAACTCTTAATTTAACGGTGAGACCCCGATACAAAAATTAATTTCATTAGCTTACTTTTATTTTTAATGAAACATATTTTAAATATAGATATTTTATGGAGTAGTAGAAAAGTAATTAAGTAATAAAGTTCTATGATTGGATTTCATGTTATCATTTTATTTTCTTCCAATGCTAAATGGCTTGGTATATGTATAGCTGTATGTGTGTGTGATGGGTAGAAATCAGATTCTATAATTTCTTTTCTAGAATTTATGTTGCTTATTTTTATGTTCTAGTAAGTAATTGATAAAGGCTTTACGTGGGCCAGCTTGATGACTTAGTGTGACACATGTTAAACACTAAGATTTGCATGGGAATTCCTTGATATCAATATGTCTTGCCAGTACATCAATAAGGAACTTAAAACATTTATTTATTTGTGATGTGTGTGTTTTATACATGACAATAAACTTCAGTGAAAAGCTTGTTTTGAGGACTGTTGCTTGTATACATAATAAGATAATATTAGTATGTTAAAATTTCTTCCAGAAGCTTATTAAGGCGGTGGTGTTTGTACCTGTAACACATGTAGCAAGTATATGCATTTATTGACAGCATACTAGGGTAGTTCGCAAGGGCTTCAAAAATTACACTTTCCTATTCCAGTGCATTTATAGATAGTAATACGAGAAAACAGACAAAAAAAAAATATATATATATATATATAGAGAGAGAGAGAGATTGTAGAAATCGAATCAGAGAGGAGAAAAAAGAAGAAAAGAAAAGGAAAGGGTGCTGGAGAAAGCTCAGTGGGCAGGTATATAGATATTTATTTTTTAAAATAGATTTAGGATTGGAAGCTCCTGTAGTTGAAGTGATAAACTGTTCTTGGAAGAAATTTTATTTCAATTGTCCTTTTTCATAAATTGCATATATCCTGATTATTTCACTTGATTTATTCAATTGTTAAATTATCTAAGTGCAGATAATGGTTAGTTGTTGGAGTTGTTGACTGGTACCAGTTAATATAATATGTCAGTGAAATAATGTGGGGGAAAAACCGCTAGTGAAACAGGACGAACGAAAAAAAAAGAAAAAAAAAAAAAGGAAGCCTAGAAGGGGCTTGGCAGAGAAGGAATAAAAAGAGGAATAGGGGAAGAGGAGGAGATAAATAAGGAAAGCTAGAGAAATTAAGAAAAACCAACTTTAAAGGGAGAGATTTTTGTATTTGAGATTTTTATGTTAGGAGTATGGAATTAATTACTCAAATAATTAAAGTACTGAGCTGTTCTTAAATTAATATCATGTTTCCATTAGTTTTCTTCTAATTGCATTGATAAATTGAGTGAAATAATAGAATTCTGATTTGATTGGAGTTTTATCTAGGAAAACTTACATAAATTTTTATGATTTAAACTTTTATTACAATTATGTGCCATAGGGGGGATTTAATATTACAATGAGTAATATTGTTTAATGCTCTTTAGAAATGAATATGACATGATTATACTAATGTTCAGGCATGGAGAAGGAAAGGACCACATCGACAGTACCGAAAGAAAAATAAATAATTTGGGAAGTAGCCAAGGTGACTGGAAGTTTATAATTGGATATGTTAAATTGAAGCTATTTATGTGAATTGATGATGAATATATTTATAACTTGATTATGTTATATAAGGTCTATACTTTGGCCTGGAAAGAAAGTAATATATTATGTAAGGTCCATACTCTGGCCTGGAAGGAGAGTACTATATTAAAAAAGGTCCATCCTCTAGCCAAGAAAGAGAATACTATATTTAAATAAGTTTCATACTCTGGTCTATAAGGAGAGTACTGTAATATATAAGGTCCATACTCTGGCCTAGAAGGAGAGTACTATATTTTAATGTTTGTAATATGTTTATGAAGTTTAATTGAAGTTATCAGATAATATTTGTTTATATTACTCTGATGTAGTAGTGTTGCATTCACTGGGCTTTAAGCTCACTCCTTCCATATTTATATTTTTTTTCAGGTATCAGGTTGGGTTGCCATTGCCAAGTCTAGAATCTTGAGTGGGAATGGGAAAAGGAACAATGGAACGTCTTTTGTTTAAGATGTAAATATTGTAGTAGTATTTAATAGTGTAACTTGTCATTAACGGTTTAGTTTTTTAGAATTTGCAAACAAGCCTAGAATTTGTTTTTAGATTGTAAATTGTTAAGCAAGTACTCTGATATATGATGATATCATGTTGAAGGAGGTTAATGCAGATGGTTAGATACATTCCAATTGTTCACTTTATTTAATAGAGTAAATTGGGTTGGGGTGTGTCATAAACAATATTGCCTTTAAAAGTAAAATTCAACATCAAGTTCATACATGATATTCTAAATGAAGTTTGGCCCTTGGCCACATATCATACATATAAAACAAGTGCCAAAACGTGTATTTAGGTACACGTTACATGTTTCAAGGCAAAAGTACATCAAAATACTCCAAGGTATTTGAGATAACTTAAGGATGTTGTGCATCCCAAAACAAAGTTTTTTTACCTGCAAAATGACCCAAACAACGAGGGTGAGTAACAAAGTTACTCGTAAGAAATGAACATGCGTATAACCTAAAGTTTTAACGGTTTTGCAAATCAATATAAACCAATCCATGTGGTTCATGCCGCCTAAGGACTATGTTCGAAGTGTGACTATAGGTTCATCCTTAAGCTACATTAGAACATTTTAACATAAATCACAATTTTAATGGAATGAAACAACATTGGAATATCCAATACAACGTAACAAGTTATAAATACTTAATATTATCAACTTGGAAACGAAAAATGCGAAATCAACCAAATGTGGACATACTTGGACATTACGCCTAATCAAATCGAACGAATAGTAGCTATTTTGGGTTACTAGCCCACCAAGAACTACCCTAGTGTGCACGTGTGGGGAGAACTCGTATCTCCCGCATTAGAGTCTTACTTTAACTATAGTCAATACAATAATATCCTAAGTTTCCAAAATTAACAAATTGTGCAATAAAATAGATACGCATATACTAAAAGTACTCAACCAACTACCATGCACAATCAAAATTTTGGAACACAATATATGCCTTAAGTCCTCAACTACAATGGCATATGAAAATGTCGAATCTTCATTGTGCGATTCGTTACACAAACAATGGTATAAGCAAATTCGAATCTTCATTGTGCAATTCATTACACTTAACAACTATATAATCAATGCTTAAAACATGATCATGTGAATATACAATGAGCCTCAAATCTATTATTTAGACATCAATATGATTTAAAATACACAATTAAATCAACGAAAACAATATTATGGAATTTCTAAAGTCACATACATAAAATCTCTAGATTTCAAAAGACTACTAAATGAACTCAATTTCATATGTGTTAAAGATTAAGTCATGGCCTTTAACAATATCGAGTTGTAATTAAATTTCATGCAAGGTACAATTATATACGAGTTTTAAGAACTATGGGAAAGCATGTATACAATTTATATTTAATACAAGAACACTTAAAACACTAAGGGTATAAACAAGAAAACACTCCCTACCTCACTAGATAATTAAATCTCTAGAATCCAAGGCAACCAAAGGCAAAATGGAAAACTAAGCAAAGGTGTTCTAGAGGGAGAGGAGAGGAAGGTTTTATGTCAAGGATGTTTAGCTAAAAGGTGAAGGGAAAGGCTTTAAAATTAAGGTGTAAGGTCTAAGGATTTAAGGTTCCTCTAAAAGAGGTAAGAGAGAAAGCTTGAAGAAGACTTGCAAATCTCTAATTTCTCCACTCACAAATGGTCTTGATAGTCAAAAACACCTATGTCTACACTACCTCTCTCACACACAAAGGTAAGACTAAATCTTGGCCCTCCACTTGTCACCATCCTAAGCCTCCTCTCAAGTAGGACTGTAAGTTAGGCTGGCCCAACTCAGCCCAGCCCCAACCCAACCTCAACCCAAATCGGATTTGGTTGGCCCAGCCCAAATTGTACCCAACATGGGTTGTGGTTATAACCTGGACTGAATACTTTCGGGCAGGTTGGGTCGGGTTCACGGGTTGAGGTTTTTTTTATTTTTTTTTTATTTTATAGAAATTTATATATATATATAGAAGTATATTATATATATTTGATTATATTATTATTAAAAAATATATATTTTCAGGGCAAATCATTTCAACCTCCCCATTCGCCTCCATCTCTATTCTCGTTCTCAACTCTGAAATTGCCCCCTCTCTCTGTGTGTGTGCAACTGCAAACTACAAAATCAACAAGAATCAGAAGTTCAAAACCTATTACCTATATCGAAACCCATATTGGCATATCATTTTAGATTGTTCAAAAAATCAAAATCCATTTCTTTCAGTTTCCATTGCCCGCTGTTCCAGTTCGGGTTTGCCATTCGCAAGCTTCAGCCGCTGTCTCTCAACTCTCAAGCATGCCCCTCTTAACTCTCAAGCTTTGCCGTTTGTTTTAGGATTGTAGAGAAGTGCATGGACGGTGGCAGAAAGAGAAAGAGAAAGAAGAGAGATAAGAGAGAAAGGAGAAAAAAAAAATTTATTTATTTTGGGTTTTAGGTTGGGTTCGGGTTGAGCTTGAGCCTAACCAAAATTTATCTAGATTTTGACAAAACCCAACCCGAACATGAACCTGATTTGTGAATATAAGCCCCAATTTCAAAATTTTTGGGTTGGGCTGGGTTAGCCAGCCCAAGTTGCAGCCCAACTCTCAAGTCTTCATCTAAACCCTACACTTGTCAAGATCCTATGCCTCCAAGTGCACCAATCCTAGGCCAACAAATGGGTAAATCCTCACCCTCCACATGTCACCAATCTAAGGCTCCCAAGTGTCACCAATAGAATGCTTACAAGTGGACCAATGAGAGTGTAACACTTTCTGAAATTTACAAAAAAGGCCCCTGCCCAAAATATCTTGCAAATTAAATTACAAAATGGTTCCTAAGACAAATATCCCAAGAAATTTTAATTACGAAAAACACCACGTAAAACAAGAATGTTTCTGAAGAAACTATGCATCCATTCCCTTTACGCGAAAAGTAAATAAGTAGCATACTTTTCTATAAAAGTAAAACTACGTATTTCATGAAAATCAAATACCATGGATGCATACAAAGCCGGAATCAAATCCGAGCACAAAAAGTGAGGTCACGTGAAAGGAAACAAAAATCGGTAAAAAGACGAAAAAGAAAAAACAAAAGAAAAATGCCAGAAAAAGAAAGGAAGGAAAATGACTGAGTCAATACAACCTCCCCTCCTTAAAGGGATTTTGCCCCCGAAATCAAGCTATACCTGAAAGTGCAAACAAATTGGGGTACCGGGAGCGAACCTCCTGCTTGAGCTCCCAAGTAGCCTCCTCTACGCCGTGATGTCTGCACAAGACCTTAACTAATGGAATGGTCTTGGTCCGTAAGACCTGCTCCCCGTGAATTAAGAATCTGGACACGTCTATCAAAACCACGTCAGTCCATCGCAGAACATGCGATTGGTTCGGCTCATATTTCCTCAACATAGAAATATGAAAGATGTCGAGAACCCTATCCAGATATGGCAGTAACACCAAACGATAAGCAACCTAGCTCACCGACACGCTCCAAAATCTCAAATGGTCCAATGAACCTGCGAGACAACTTGCCTGTCCATCGAGATCTCAGAAGCCCCTTGCGCGGAGAAATTTTAAGAAAGAGGTAGTGGTTGGTTGTGGGTAGGTTCTTGAGATGAAGAGGTTATTTTGGACATTTCGAATTAGTTAGAATGAGTAAATTAGAAATTTTACTATTTAAAAGTGTAACTTCATGACGACGGCCGTTCCAATACGCCAAACTGAATGTAGTGAATGTGTGGTTCAAGAAAAGCCTTTTATGTCAAATTTAAATTTATAAAAACTACAACCAACACTACTACTAACGTAGCAAGAGTGAGTAGGGATCGTCCCAAGGGATTATACGTGTTGGAATTTCAACTTCGACTCTAGCGTACCAAATGATTGCAAAAGAGAATTGGGTTGGTTGATTACTTCTAGAAAAGAATTAATTAAAATGCAATAAGATAAAGAGTAAGTAAGAAGGAAAGGTCTTGGGCTGTAGAGATCACCACCAAACAATACTATTCCAAACCATAATCAAGTGACTAATGAGGGAAATGAATGTGTTGCAACAATGTTGTGTGTATAAAAGACATTCAATTGGTGAGGGTGACTCAACAAGTGCAAATTGTCTCAATCAACATGTGTGAGGCCACAATACATCTATTAGTAGAGGAATATATTGTCTAGACATCATGTGAAGAGAACAAAATATCAAATCAAGTCATTGAACCTTTCATTAAGCTCATAGTCCAAGCAATCCATAAGGATGACTTAGTTAAACATGTATTATCTAAACATCATGTGAGAGGCCACAATTTATCTATTGGGAGAGGAATAAATTGTCTAAACACATATGAAAGATACAACATATCATAACTAGTCATTAATCCTTCATTAAGCTCACAATCCACATGCAACACAATATTAGAGGAATATGCCATTTGGACTCACAAGCATGGAACATCAAACATCAAGAGTAGATTGTCCTCCCATCTAACATTGTACTACCACTACACTAAATCTACACTACTAGCATTAAAATAAAGCTATCTAGACTAGGGGAGAGGCACAAGCCATCAAGAATAGGCATAAACCATCAAATGAACCAAAATAGCATTCATTAAGCATATTATCTTGATAATCTCTAGATCTATAGCATCAATACATATAGACATGCATCAAAAACACTAAATCTAGAGATAAGCACATGAATATCCCACTCTAGCATACATAGACATATGGGTAGAATAGAATAGTCAATTGGAAGCATTAAACCATACAAACCATGAAATAATCAAGATTTATATATACATGAATATCAAGATGTATCATACAATACTAATCCCTCAATAATACACAAGATTAGAGTATAGAAAGCATGCTTGGGGCTAACTCTAGCCCCAAGAGGATGTCTAGACACTCATGGTAGTGATGATCCAACCCTCAAGGGCTAACTCCATGGCTGCTCCTTGTTGGTGAAGATCTCCTCCAATGGTGCTCTAGCTTCCCTCCTTCCTCCTCTCCAAGAATAGCCTCCAAGGTGATTTTCAATGTGTGACAAAAGACTCTAGACCCCACTCCAAAAAGTGTATCATATTCCTTATATAGGTAGGTCAAATACACCCTATGATGAGCTGTGGTCGTG